CCACCAGGCCGAAGGCTCCTCCCCCCATTCATCGGCAGGCACCTGCCAGCATCACCCCAAGCGTCCCCTCTCCAGCCCCACCAGCGGGAGCCTGTGGGACATGGAAGCATCACCCCGAGCTGCGGCTCCGTGGCCATGCTGGGCTCTATAACAGAGGCTCAGCCTTAGCACAACACATCAGAGGCTTGTGGCTACTGAGGCAGGCTAAGCCTACGCTTAAGCGCTTGATGAAATCAGGGCCGTAACCTTTTTTTAATCCCCAACAAGGCTTGCCCTGCAGCTATTTTTCTCTCCGCCAAGCAGCAAGCACAAAGGCTGTGGAAAGGCTCCCTAGGTGGCAGATCCAAGGGCTTTCCCAGGCAAGGCTGCTCTGCTTGCAGGGACAAAAGGTGTTTCTGCCTCCCACCAGCCCTCTGCGCTCTCAGGGGAGCGGGGCACCCCCCAGCAAAGCCTATTCTCTCTTATCAGCCCGAGGCACCGGTGCTGCGGGCCAAGCCAGGCCCTGCCTTCAGCTTAGCCAGCACGTCTGCCGACGCTTGGGGAGGAAGGGAATTGAGCTCTCTCTCGCTGACAGGTCTTGGCTCTCGGGGACTAATGGGAATAAAGACAGTAAAGGCTTAGACTAGTCATTAGAGTCGGTAGATCTGACTCTAAATATATTCAGGGAGCGGATTTGCTGGAAGAAGACACCATTTCTTCCGTCGCTTTCCATGTCTCACTTGATTTGGTGTTGGGTTTTTTTAGCCCAACGTCTGGCCAGCTGTTAGCACGCTCTCTTATTTTGGGAGGGTAAATCACCAAAGACGCCCTTTGGCCAGAATATGAAGGACAACAAGATAGTACCAAGCCAAAATCCCCCTCGCAGAGGGTGCTAAACCTTTAAGGCTAGATTTTCAAAGGGATTTACATGTCTAAATGCTGCAAATCAGCATCCAAAGGTGCTTCAGTAATTTTGTAGGGCTGGTCCTTCCCAGCTACCGGGCCAGGCCTGGGGTACAGCAGCTCCTGCAGCAGCAGAATGGTTCTGGCTCCAGGGAGCCCAGGGGGAGCTTCTTAATCACCCTGGCATCACCCCTCCTGTGAGCAGGCAAAGCAGAAAGCTTGAGGTAGAAAATATCAATACTGGTGACTGGTAAACAGGGAGGAGGACTGCAGCTGCAGAGCTCAAACAGTGCGTAAGCAAAAACCCAGGGCTGCGATGCAGGGACTAAACAAGCTCGCGGTTTGAGGCTTGTGATTTTCAAGACACTGCCCGCAGGGTCTGCACCTACTGGGGAAACATTCAGGGGGCTGCAAATCAAAAGAGCCACTGGTCTACAAAGAAACCATGTAAAATGAACATGACGCCCCTATTTACACATCGGTAATTATTCCGGGAGCACCGTCTTTAGGGGCAACGATGCATTTAAGGACACATCCAAGCTTTCCAGCGCTGTCTGGAAAGCTACAGTAAGGTGTCTCAGAGGGCAAAAAGCAGGTCTAGCCTTACAGCTTATAGGACTTGTAGTGGCCTAGTACCTATCTGGAAATAAAATATCACTATGCAAGATAATTGTTACAGTAACTTGAAGAACTCACTTGCAGTGATAATAACTTTACACCTTACTCAAAACTTCCATCACTATTAATTTGGAAAAAAATATATAAAAAATGGCTTATTTTCAGCTTTTCTCTAGAACCCAAAGTTTTTGAGGACAGGGCGGGTGGCAGGGAGGAATGTATCCATCCCCTCCACTAGAGATGCAAGGGCTGGACAAACTGGCAGGAGCCCAGCTCCCCTCGGGACACACGCCTTCCCTCCCCATCAGCCCAGCACCTTTGTGCTTCTCCTTGCCAGCGCAGGGGCACCACTGGGGGTTAGTTTTTCATTATCTTTCCCCATCGCCGACATTGAACCCTCCCTTTTCCTTTTCTTCCACCTAAATGCTCCCCGCCTGCCTTTTGCACAGCTAGGTGAGTGCATGCTGCCACGTGGCATCCCAGGCATCACCCTGGCTTTGCACTTCCCAGGCGAAACCTCTCCCCTCTCCTGCGGAGCCCTTGCTGATCATGCTGGGCCCCCTCATCTCACCCAAGACTCTTTGCCGATACATGTCAGGAGATGCCCTTGGCTGCCGCTGCCTGCACAGGCATCTCCCGCTCCCTGCCAGGGCCTTTCCCCTCCAGGCGGCTGTCCCACACAGTGCTCTGGAGCTCCTTCCCCTCCTGATGCCTCCTGGGGCAGGTGGATGATGCCCGTCACTCCTCATGGTCAAACCACCACTCCAGAGGACACTCCGCAGGCAGAGTCTTGTGCTGCCAGCCAAAATGCCATCTCCCATAGGTCCTAATCGCCGGTGCCTGGCACAGGGCAGACGGCAGCTCGGATGGCGTTACCTGCCCACGGGTGTGCGACTGAATGATAACCTTGGTGTCACCCACTCCATCAGCCTCCCAGCACAAGGTGTTTTTCCACCCAAGTGAAAAATGACATGAAAGACTTCTTCCAGCCCAAGGCATCCCCCATTCTTTCCCAAACACAGCAAATACCTACTGAGGCCAAGCAAAAGGGACCGCTCCCGCCTCCAAAGCACAGCCGTCTGCAGAGGGGAGGGCAGCCCGACAGTGCCTGCCAGCACACAGAAGCTCCAGGACACGGCCTGGGCTCAGGTGCCCTGACAGCATCACCCCAACGCCCGGCAGCACTGGGGCAGGATGTAATTAACCTGGCGGGACTCGCGCCGGGAAGCCTTGGCTCTGCCAGGCGACCTGAGCTGCAGGGCTCACCCCAGGGGAGTGGGGCCCACGGCGCAGCGCCTGGGGCTGGATCACCAGCGCTGCCCCACGCTTCCCATGGGGTGGTGCGGGTCCCCTCTCAGCCCCAGCCCTAGTCCCATCCCAGCCCGGGGATCCAGGACCCCATCTTGCCCCCATGCACAGCTCAGATGCATCTACCAGGATTTTTGGCTCAGACACTCT